TAGAAGGAAATATAAAAGAAGAAGAAGAAGAAGAAGAAGAAGAAGAAGAATGTTAACCTCTGTACAAAGAAACAAAAGCAAAAAAAAATCTGTACATACCTCGGACTGAAATCCCGCGGAATCCAGTCGAAATCCCGTCGAAATCCCTGCTGGAGCCGCTGAACTCGCATCTCTTCCCACCAAATCCGCTGTGCTCGCGTCTCATCCCGGGATTTTTGCATGAAACCTGCGACAAATCCTCGATCGAGCGCCCAAATCTCCTTTAAATACCGACCCAACCTCCACTCTTCCGGCTGCTCGTTCCACTCTCAGCCGCTCTTCCCTCTGCTTCCCGAATTCCTCCCGACTGCTCCTCTCAGCCGCACGAAACAGCCCCGACCTCCACTCCATTCCGCCGATCTCCCCTCCAAGCCTGCCGAAAACCTCCATCTCCCTAAGCCGACCTCTCCTCCGAACTCTACCTCTGTCCGTGCCGACCCCAAGCCGCAGAGAGAGGAGAGAGATGAGAGAGAGAGAGAGAGAGAGAGAGAGAGGAGAGAGAGAGAGAGAGAGGGAAAGAGGGACCGAGCTCTTACCTTACCGAAGCCGGATCCCCAACTCAAAATCGACGTTGATCTCCTCCTCCCTAACTGGAGCCGAGACCCGCCTCCATCCTGTTCGACTTCGCCCCGATCTCCCTTCCTGTAGGAGTGAAAGTTACGGCATTTTGATTAGAAACAGTAAAGGGAGCTCGCTTGTATGAAGGTAATTTTCTCCCTTCCAGACCCTTCTTCGGCCAAATCCAGTAAATCCGCTGAACTCGTGAAAATTGAGAGCTTTGCTCTCTGTTTAGTGGGATTTAGCCTAAATCCCTCAGATAGTTATTAATTAATAATAATAATTAGTAATTAATTTTAACTAATTTTAATTAATTAGTATTAATTATGATTTAATTATTATTTAATATAATTAAGTACGATTAGTTTTAATCAATCGCATAATAATTAATATTAAATAATAATTAATTATTATTAATTAATTCTAATTAACTATTATTAGTTATAATTAATTACATTAATTATTACGGTTAATTATAATAAAAAAATTCTCCTTTGCTTTCCCTCCACTCTTCTTCCTCGATGTCCGTGTCGGACCGGCAAACACCTAACACGCCTTTTAGTGCGTGGTTAGGAGGGAACCCGGTGCGCACCTACGCAGGTAGGTGAGTGACCCTCGATCCACGTGGTCAACCACGACAACCCCGCGGAGGTACGAATTCTTCTAAACTTAAAATCTTGCTTCAATGTCCGTGCAACTTGGAGAACTGTCCTAAGCACGCCTTTATTGCCGTGTAGGATGGAATCCCGGTGCGGCACGTACGGCGAAGCGGGTCACTTATAAGTACCCCCGCGGGGGGGAAATCAAAACTGCTTATCAAAAAATCTTTTATAAAACCCCATGCGCGCCTTTATTGCGCGTGGTGGAGAAAAATAACAAATACAACCGCCGCGGTGGTCTCACCCAACACCAACCGTGCACGTATTTATTTACGTGGCGGATAGACGGCCTCTTGGTTTTTTCCCTTAACGGCGGGAGACGCCGGGAGGCTATCTTCTCTTTTATATATAAGAAAAAGGAAAATACAAAACAAGAGAGGTAAGTTTTAGAAAAAGAATGATGAGGACTAAAAAAAAAAGAAGGAAATATCACAAAAAAAAAGAGAGAGTTTAAAAAAAAGAGAAGAAAAAAAAGAAAAAGAAAATGAGAGATCCAAAAAAAAGAAGGAAAAAAAGAGAGAAATTCAACACCACCGCCAATCCCTCATCGCGCAGGTATAAGTTCTAAATTCAAAATCCCCGTTTTTGACGTTTGTGTCGAGTCGGAAAACTCCCTATGCTCTCTCTCATAGCACGGTAGGAGGAAACCCAATGCGACACATACGGCGAGGCAGTAAGCCCTATACACGCTATTGCAGCGTGGTGGGGACGCCCCTAAGTACCTATACACGCCCTTGTAATGTGGCAGGGAAAGCCACTTGTATTTTCAAACAACTATCTGAAACCCCCATACACGCTCTTGTAGCGTAGTGGGATCGAAGATGTATGACCACAGTGTCACCCGATACCAACCATACACGCTCTTGTAGCGTGGTGGGATTAAAGATGTATGGCTACGGTGTCACCCGACACCAACCAAACACGATCTTGTAGCGGTGGGATGGCCCACGCCGGAAGGCTGCCAAAATTTACGCTGAACTGAGGCCATATTTGAACTTGATTGAACATAGGGGTCCTTATTTGAATAAGACTTGAACTTGAACTTGAATTGGATATAATGAATAAAATTGAATGAACTAAACTTGAATCATATGCAAGAGAACTAAAACTTGGATTTGAACTAAGTGCAAAGGACTTTGAGTTGATTTGAATAACTTAAACATGCAAGAGAATTTATAGTTATAGGGAACTAAACACACAAGACATGAACTGGACATACAAAACTTGAACTGGATACAAGAGACTTGAACAACGAACTACAGGGGACCAGATATTAAATCAACGAATGTGCAACCATAATATAAGCATTAAATGATAACTTGGATTATCAAAATAAAAGTTGATATGCAACTATACAAGAATGAGGATCGAGCTAAATAAACTTCTAACATATGAATGAACTGCACCGATTAAGAATCGAACTTCTTGAAAATGTGAAAGATGCTAAGGAGGCTTGTAACGCTAAATTACATGCTAAGAGGAATCTCATGGATTTATCCTTAGCATGGAGTGATGTTCCCGTATGAGTATTTGTACTTTCAAGCCCCTCAAACAACCTCACTATCCATCCTATCTTCAACTGATTTCCATATTGACACTCTTATTTCTAGTACACTCAACTAGTCAAATTCTTTCTTGCTCAAGATTCAAATAAAAGATGGGGAATTTTGTTCTTGAAGTTTTATCAAAGTAATTAGATGGTCGAAGCATATGGTTTATTGTCCCATCTTGAATAAGAAGGAATTTTGGTCCTACAGTTGTAGGAGAGTAACCAAACTTTTGAAGCACATGATTTATTGCCCACGCACATGATTTAGAGCCACACCACATAAAGAAATAAACTATGAACATTGGGAGAAATAATATAGATCTCTTTTTTCTCTAGCACAGTTCTTACACAAAAACAAACAAAGAGATCAACAAAAATCACTAAGGGACAAAACCCTTAATGAAAAATGAGAAAGAAAACTACTCTGCTCGCCTTGCAGTGTCGTAGTGCCAAGTGCTCTGCGGCGCTCAATTCTCTATCTTATGTATGTATAGTAGTGCCGCAATGCCGGGGTCTAGAGCGCTACAGTGCCCCGAACAGTACCGAGGTTAGGAGCGCCGCAAAGCTTTGCTCTGTCTTTTTCCATTGAACTATGCAATGCAGAGGGGGGGGGGCACTCGGGTACATAGCGCGGAGGCGTTGTATGGGAAAAAAAATTTCGTGTGCAAAGCACTCGAACCCAAGCAAGGGGAGGACCCCCAGCGAGCTCAACAAATATAATTGAGGTCCGAGATAATAGTATAAGCCGATTGATTAACACAATCATATTTCACACAGAACTAACACCTTATTTATATTAGCATGATTATAAGTTTTTATACCTTGATCCTTGAGTCGTTTATAGGAAATTGATGGTTAATTTTGCATGTTTTGGAAGAGATTTTTTTGTTTGCTTAATAACTCTATATACGAGAAAAATTTTTATAGCACCCTTCTAACATAAAGAACATAAATATGATTTAAAGCTTCTACCAAAAGAATCTTTGAACATTAAAACAAACTTTAGCATACAATTTTGAATTTTATGTTAGGTAGGTGAGACCAAAAGATGCTACAAAACTACAAACAGTATTCCGCGATGCTCATACCAACAAATTTAGAAAGCTTGACAACATGCTCAGTTTCAGAAATCTCATGCTGGACATATACCTTTCCTATCCTCCTCATTATCTCCATGGGACTTGACAACAGAATTCAGAAATTTATGGAACTTCTGTTTTTTCTTCATTTCTGAAACCTTGGTTCCTGGCTGATCACTTTAAAATTTGCTTTTACAATCTCATTTATTAAGGGAATTTACCTGCAAAATATAAGAATTAGAACATATGAATTTAATTGAGGACTACTATGCAGGGGCTTGATGAGTAAATAAGTTATCCATTTCACATTACTTCTGTAATAGAATACATGAAATTCAAAGCATATAAAAGTATAAAACCATCTTAATTTGGAATTATTATTTGAATACACATTTTACAAGAAAGATAAATTCCCATACAAGCCAATCGGTATATGAAAATGCAGACTTTAACCACCCAGCATGGTTAAAATATCAGAAGTTAATTGACTTGCAGAATGCGTGCTACTTGTGCCACATTTGTGTTGAGGATACAATTGGCGCCTAGTCAATTTACGCATGACAGGACCATTAACTTGATGGGAAACCGGTGTTTGTTGAATTTTAAGTTAGATATGACACTCATTATTCCTCAATTGTGCATGTGTCAATTGGCTAAGAGTATGAAGCATAACAAAGGTTTACACACCGTTGCCATCCATATGCCGCATAGGAGGTCAATAGGGCAGACACTGTGATAATGCTTCCTAGGACCACCACTATGTTAGAAGCTTTAATTTTTATTGGTACTGATTATTTCTTTGAGATGGCATACTTTTATATGCAACAAGACTTTTTAAGCATCGAACTCTATGAAGTTATTTTTTTGCGAGATTGTTAGGTTACAAGATTGTCATAAGGTCATCGTTTTTATAGGAGTGTGGAATTCATGAATTATTTTTGCAAAACAATACGGAAGAAAATGAGTTCTACACTTCAACTTTTACTATTATAATTTACAAACTTGTAAGAATGAGAAAAAAAGTGGCCAATAATTGCAAAATACCATTAATACAATGAAAGGGAACTCTAAAACATTAAGACCTTTTGGTGTAATGCCTTGAGCTTGTCAAGAACTCCAAGGTTAAGATGTGTTTATGTGGGAGCAATTCTATGATAGTGAACTTCTTGGAAAATTGTATCAAGAAGACAATTTTGAGACCTATCACTAAACAATATCTCAACAAATGATAGTTAGAGCTATTACAAATGACATTAAAACAATAAAATAGTTGGATGATGGAAACTATGTCACGACCCGACGGGAAAAGATGGTCAGACGGTTGATTAAAGTTTTAATTTACTAATTCTATCACCAATAATTTGAAAGAGCCACAAAATCCTCAAAACTTAAAACAAAGTTAAATATTATAAATACCTCTTTCCTCTATTGCGCCGCACCTACGACATACATTATCTTCTATTTTACTCATTTTAAATTATGAATAATACATGTTCATTTATAAATTTAAGAGTGAGTAATAAAATAATTCGGTGAGTAAATCATGTTTCTAAACTATAGTAATCCAAGACATTTGGAATAATATGCATGATAATTTCAATACATAAAGTAATTCCATTTAATTATTTTATTTCAAGACTTTCAATATTAGACATATATCATATCTTTATCCTTTCTCATAAATAATACAACCATCACAAGATTCACCATCTAAAATAGTACCAATGAATGTACTCCTCAATTTCCTTTTCCTTTTCTATAATCTTTTTCGTTTACGCGCACAGGTATATTGCGTCCCTAGTCGGTACCATAAAGAGGTGCGCTCTATCATTCAACATGACTATGAAAATGACAAATCATAATCTAGCTTGCAATAAAGACTTAATAAAGTGGTGTTACCATCTTTCAATGTATTTAATTTAAGAGAAACAAAATTATTACTGTAATTAAAAAGATATGAGTACTAACTTTGAACTTAGGTGTTGCGCTACATCACTTTTACTCCATACTTTTAGGTCAATAGACTTAACACCTATAAAAAAATATCATCGTTAAATTTAATTTGTAATTTGCTCTTAATTTCTCTAAGTTGCTATTTTAATTTTAAATTAAGATCTCAATTTTATTGATTATAATTGTTTTCACTCTAATGAGTGCACATAAATAGCTCTTGTATTTAATTTATTAAATTACTAATGAAATTTGCTTGCTCATTTTGCATTATCATTTATATATGGATCATGATTTAATTATTATTAAATTATAAATTTTTATATTTAATAATTTTTCGCTTTAACAAATTAAATATACTCTCATTTCTATCATAGAAAAAAATATCTTTAATCTGTTCATTTTAAAATTAATAATTTAAATGAAATCTCTCAAACATAAGCTTTCTCTAATTATTTGTTTCTAATTTTAAAATTAAATTTAATTATTATTGTTTTCTAAATAAATTTCTTATATTAAGATATTATAAATTTAACATTATATATGTATATGTACATATATATGTATGTATATATCCTCCTTTCAAAGTATATACACTCTTATAATAATCTATTCTTATTAATTAGATTCATAACAATTAACTTATTTAATTAAAATCATATATAATATTAAGGTTATACTTTTTTCCCTAAATGTATGCATATAATAACATTAACCATTTTAATCTAATAAATGTAAATTATAATATAGATTTAGATTAATTTTTAATAAAAAAGAAAAGTTACCTCATAGTCTTGAATTTCCCTCGCACACTCGCCACCTCTTTATCTTTTGGTCTCACCCTGGTCCCCTCTCCGTCGTCCTCTGTCAACAAAGCAAACCGCGACCAAAAAATCAAACAACATTGATGTTCCTTCTTCTTCCTCTCAATTAGCCTCCTCTCATTCAGACTTTTTATAATTGTGTGGTTCAAAAGGAATGAGCAAATCAAAGATATTACACATGAGGAGTCACTACTTTTCACTCCCGCACACATTTCCTTGCTCGATTTCGTGATCCGACCTCACTAGGCCCTTTCGCGCTAGCGTGCGGTCCGCTCGGCTTCCACAGTCGCATCTCTTCGCTCTGCTTTGATATCAAGATAAAAAAGAGTCAGTTCAATTGAACCGTCCGACTTTAATAGTTCTTACAATCTCCCATTCTTATAAAAATTACATCATCCAAATTTGCTTCTAATTATTAGTTATAGCATACTATTATGAGATAAATTGAACATAAATACTTGATATATAAATAAAATAATATCTTCATCCATAAATACTAAGTGTTGCAGAGATGAGGATGCTTAGGTGGATGAGTGGCTTTACCCTTAGAGATAGGATACGAAATGAGCATATATGAGATAAGGTTGGAGTAGCTCCAGTGGAAGATAAGATTAGAGAGACTCGCCTTTGGTCACATTAAACGGAGGCCTTTCGATGACCCGGTTAGGAAAGTTGAGGTATTAGATTTGACTTATGTTAAGAAAGGCAAAGGTAAACCTAAAAAGACTTGGTTAGAAAAATATTAGAAATGATATTTCCTTATTAGATTTAAATGAGAATTTGACTTTGAACACGACACAGTCGCGAAAAAGTTCATATAGCCGACCCCACGTAATGGGACACAACGGGTTTATTTTATTGTTGTTGTATCCATAAATACTTGATATATAAATAAAATAAACTGAACAAAAATACTACCTTTAAATAGAGGTAGTCGCATGTCCTAGAATAATTTCAGATATTTATCCACTCCAGCTACAAGTTTGCAATTTTAATTCCTGAAGCATTTGGGTCATAGCCGTCATCATCTGGGTGAAAGGTGTTGGTGTTCACATTTATTTTGATAATTCTTCTCCTTCCATATTTCAATCGGTTACTTCCTCTTGATCGACTGCATACCTGATATATTTATATAAGACAATTAATTATAGTATCTAATCGAATATCTAAATTCTTCACAGATAATTTCATAAATCATTCCTATTGCTCTTTCGTTACAATTCATATTCCTAGGATAATCCTTGGGCTTTAATACTACTTTTTTCACGGCCCGACCAAGAGGCTTGATTTAATGGGGTGGGAAGAAACGGTTGGACGGTTGATTAAATTTTTATTTACTAAATCTATCACCAATAATTTGAAAGAGCCACAAAAATCTTAAAACTTGAAATAATGTTAAATATTATAAATATGTTTCTTCTGGTGCGTCGCGCCTACGACATACATTATCTTCTCTTTTACTCATTTTAAGCTATGAAAAATACTTAGTCATTTATAAATTTAAGAGTGAGTCATAAAATAACTCAGTGAGTAAATAATGCTTCTAAACTATAATAATCCAAAGCATTTGGAATAATGTGCATGATAATTTCAATGCATAAATTAATTCTATTTAATCATTTCATTTTAAGATTTTCAATGTTATGCATATATCATATCTTTATCTTTTCTCATAAATAATACAACCGTCATAGGAGCCACCGTGTAAAATAGTACTAATGAAAGTACTCCAATTCATTTTCTTTTTCATAACCTTTTTTATTTACGTGCATGGGTATATTGCATCCCCAATATATACCATAAGGGAGGAGCGTGCTTCATCATTCAACATGCACATGCAAACATATATATATATATATATATAGTTAATAAAGATGAATGAGTTGTCTTTAATATAGTAACTTGTTATGTTATATCAATTGTTTTGCTTAATCCATTTATCTTATTATGTTATATCGGATGTTTTAATTTAACTGGTTATGTATCTAATGTTAAAGTTTATGTTAAACGAATTAAAGATATTATTTTATTTATATATTAAGTATTTAAGTTCAATTTATCTCATAATAGTATGTAATAACTAATAATTATAAGCAAATTTCGATGACGTAATTTTTATAAACGGGAGATTATAAGAATTGGTCAAGCCAGTCGGATCAATTGAATCGTCTTTTTTTATATCCCTAAATTTATAAGAGTATATAAATTAAATTTGATTATTATTATTTTCTAAATAAATTTCTTATATTAAGATATATATATATATATATATATATATATATATAATCTAATAAGTTATCTATTCTTATTAATTAGATTCATAATAATTAACTTATTAATTATTTAATTAAAATCATATATAATATTAAGTTTATTCCTTTTTTTTCCCTGAATGTATGTATATAATAACATTAACAATTTTAATCTAATAAATCTAAATTATAATATAGATATAGATAAAATTTTTAAAAGAAAAGAAAACTTATC